TTTAAATGTCAAAATTGATCATTAGATTTTTTATGACACAACAGTGGTGAGTGCTCCCACCTTCTGCTCTTTGTAACTTAACGTGATCTTTCCGTTTTCGAGTTTTGGACGTGATTTTCAAGTATATCTTTGCAGTAGCGATTGACCGCAAAGTAAAGCTACCGGAAATGTACAACCCCACATCCGGTCTCAAACCAGGAAGTTAGCATTTTCTCGTGCACATGGTCTATTAGCATGATTTGCCTACTCGTCACAATCACTGCTATGTAATGAGACAAAGTCATGTTTCTATATTGGCAAATTGTTTGCATACACAGTACTAAGAAAAGAAAAAAAAAAGGCATTAATTATGAGAATCGTTACCTTGCCATAGGCGGTTTTGTAAGACCGGAGCAAAGGAACGCGCTGTTTGTTGGACCGACTCCCGAGCAACTCAATGATGGCTTGCTCATCAGTTCCTGCACAGACAAGCCAGAGATGTCAAGTCAGGCACAGATCAATTTTTTTTTTTTTTTAAATTGGCTTCTTCTCACATTTAATTCACACTATGAATGAAAGGAAAATGACATAGAAAAGAAGAAAACTAAGGCTGTGTTGAGCTAATGACAATAAATGACTATTCACCCATTGTTTTAAAAAGGCTACCCTGCTAAACATGTGCTCATTTATCAGGCTGTGAATCAGGTAAAATATTAAATGGGATCATTCCCAGAAGAACGAACAGAACACAGTTTCCCAAATGTATAATATCCAGAGTGTCTTGCCTATTTGCCTATTTTCTGGGATGTTTAAGCTGCACAAGATTCTCTTCTTGCTTAAAATAGAGTTTATTCTTCCTGATCAGAGTCTGTCCACAACACTCACCAAAGCCCTTCATGGCCTTCCTCAGGACCTCCGCATCTTTGAGAGGGTCAGCTCCAGGAAAGTCCTTGAGTGTTCCCCTGAATCCTCTCTGGAACAGGTTAATTTGAACTAGGGTTATTAAGTTAGTTTTGCAACACTGCACTGTAAACACAAAGTACATTAAACACATTCAGAGAGGAATAATAAGAATACATTTTAAACCAATAAGTAAAAAAAACAAAAACAAAAAACTACTCTTACATTGATAGGTGGAGCTATTGGCATGGCTCCTCCTCCACCATAGGCTGGCATGGATGGATTTGCTGATGGGGCATTTGGGTACCCAGGCATAGGTGCTGGTGCTCCTCCATAACCTGGCATGGATGGGTTGGGTGATGGTGCACCGGGGTATCCAGGCATTGGCTGGCCAGGCTGACCAGGGTAACCCATTGCTGGACCCTGGTTTTGTTGTGGTGGCATGGTTCCTCCTGGCTGTGGGTACAGGCCACATGACTGTTGGTTAGGGATGGGGCCACCAAACCCACCAGGTTGAGGGGCAGGTTGGTAGCCCCCAGGGACTTGGGCAAACATGGACGTGTTTGGAGGAAACCCCCCCATGGCTCCAGAGATCTGGTTGGCCTGTGATTTGGAAATATTGTCATCCCATAACATGTGCACAGATTCTTGAAGATTTTTTAATTTTTAATACAGGTAGCTGGTCACACCTTTTTTGGTTACACTTGTTTGTCAAATTACAATGATTAAAATAAATATTTCCAAGTAAATACTCAAACTGAGATTAATATTCCTGGTGTTTATACATGATATCCCCAACCCCTGGGCCTCGGACCGGTAGCGGTCCGTGAGTTGTTTGGTACCGGGCCGCGAGAGTTGAGGCTCAGGTGTGAAATGTATGGTTTTCAGGGTTTTTATCGGTTTTCAGCGTTATTTTGTTATCGTTTTTATCGTTAACTCGGTTTTCCTGGGTCTTTTCACGTGTGTTATGAATAAATCTTCTAGTTTTATTTTGTTGTATTTATCCGCGACACCTTAAAGGCTGGTCCGTGAAAATATTGTCCGGCATAAACCGGTCTGTGGCGCAAAAAAGGTTGGGGACCGCTGTATTACACCACATCATTTGGTCATGAAATAAAACCTGAACAATTTTAACCCGTCCCGGAAAAAAAAATGGTCCATTGAACCACTAATAACATTTATAGTTCTGGGTCTCAGGAGGATATAAAGAAGAATCCAAAGAAAGTGTGGCCAAGCTATTAAAATGTCATTGCATACATCTCACAGACCAAATAAAAAGAAAAAACATGGGGAAAGTCAAAGAGTAAAAAACAGGGCATTGGTATGTTTAAGAACAATACACAGAAATTAAGTTTATGACTGCTTTTCATGCAGGAAAAATGGAGAAAAACAGGTAAGGGGGGGAAAAAAAGAAGCAATAATGCTGAAAATTTAGGGAGGCATATTTTGAAACCATCTTACCGTAAAGTGAAAGTGCGTGATATTCCATTAATGGCGTGTAATTCTAACTTGAATATTTAAGGCAAAAATCCAGTGATCATGCATTAAACAAAATTTTACAATTTTCTGGGATGTATATTTTGAGATCAAACTTACCATGCCAGGATTGTATCCAGAGTTGGATAAGCCATCAAGACCAATGGAGGGATATCCACCCATAGGCCCTCCACCCCAGCTGCCTGCACGAGTTAACAGAGAAGAAACTATTCAGGAAATTTAAGGAACTGCACTTGCTCCTTGTTTTCATTTAAAGCTCATTTTGAGATTCTGTGGATCATTTTAAAATTTGCATGTGGGATGAATAACGCCAACAGCTGGAACGCAGAAATGCTGACCAACTACGAGTCCGTTCACATTCTTCCATTTTAGATATGACGGTACTTCTTCCATGAGTAATGTCCTACAAGTCATGTTGTTTGTTTTTAGGTGATGTCATCTTTTATTGTCCTTAATGGTCATCACTGCTTTTAGATATACACTTTAATTTTCCTTTATCATATCATTTTCCTCTTTCTGTTGTAATGAAATTTCCAAAGCAATTTGTAAACAATGTTGTCAAAGGTTAAAGGACACATAAACAAAGTTATGAACTCCAGTCCATTAAGTATAAATTCTCATGATCCCAGTTGCCTACAAACACCACTTAACTAAAAGTAGGCACTATTTCACATTAACCAAAACACATGTTAATAAAAAGATTAGGATCACTTTCATGTCTGTATGATAAATAGGAAGCTACAGCCAGCAGCTCGTCAGATTGGCCTCGGATAAAGACTGACTATTGAGCCTGTAATAAGCAAATCTTCAAATCAGCAATTATATGAAAAGTTGTATAAATGTTACTTCTTTTCTTTCTAACTTCTTTGTATTCGGCTTAATGTTAAGTGACAGGCAATCATTTTAATTTATTTAATACATCAATAAGGTATGAAAATGATATTTATCAGTTGGTCGTGTTGCTGTATGTGTCATTGTCACATACAACAACAGTTAATTTGTGTATATACGGTGCAGAGCTGTGTATCGTTGTGCAAACAGACTTGTTTTGTGGGCAGATTTCCTGAAGATAAAATTAGATCACATTCAAGGTCTGCTGGACTCTGAACAGGTGACCAAATGACTCATCTGCTTCAGTGATTACAGTCAGAGTTTGACAGAACAGGATGATAAACACATTTAACTGATGTATTAATCCATCAATCAACAGCAGCAACCAGCTTTATCAACCTTGCCGCAGAAAGTAGAATTATATACATCACAAAAACTTTACAAAGAAATTAATCTTCTCTTTACTTAAGTGTGCAAAAGTGTGCACTGACTTTAACAGTCCTGCACAGTGGCTTACCTTGAGGTGGTGCCTGTGGGTAACCTCCAGCCTGTGGTGGGTAACCTCCAGCTTGAGGTGGATATCCTCCTGCCTGTGGTGGGTAGCCTCCAGCTTGAGGAGGATAGCCACCCGGCTGTGGGGGGTAACCTCCCGCTTGGGGAGGGTAAGCTCCTGGCTGTGGAGGGTAAGCACCTGGTTGTGGAGGGTAAGCCCCAGGCTGAGGTGGGTATCCTCCTGCCTGTGGGGGATATCCTCCTGCCTGAGGGGGGTATCCAGGGTAGCTCATTGCTTTAAACATAAAACGGAGCAGTCAAAGGGATGCCCACCATACAACATAACCTCTTACAAATAATAAGAATCTGCAGCATTATGATCATTTTGTGCAGCTGCCTCCATTAAAAAGTACATCATCTGTTGAAAATTAAAAAGACAAGTAAAAGATCAAACGTTTATGTGAACTGCACCTTTAAGTAATATGCAAATGATGCAAAGTGCATCGCATTTCTAAAAAGAGTCATTATAGTTTAGCATTTTCAAATAAGGTTTTATTATTTACTCTAACATGGAGCAGAAAATGGAAGATGAATGTTACGTTTGAGTGTTTTTGTCTTGAGTTTAATTTTGGTTAGCCCCCTGGAGCCGATTTGCTCTTTCAGTTTTGTTTTTACTGTTTTATATGTTACTGAAGCTTTTATTACTTTTGTTTTTTTTAATAATTATTATTACATAAATGGTATTTCCACAATGTAGTGATTTACACATTTGTGTAACAAGCAAAATGTCCCCAATTAAATTCATCAACCAGTATAAAAATCTGCCAAATCAAACATGTGAAACTACCAGCTGTAGTGAAGGGACCAGCTGAAAGGATCATTATTATCATCATTATTTAGCATTACAATAAAGCACAAGACTTTGTGAAAACAGTTGACTCACAATCATGTGTGTCTAAGTCTCAAAAAAAACAAAAAAAAAAAACAAAACTAAAACTAAGTACATTTCCTCATTTTTTAGTTAGTTTTCCCTCAAAATCTAGTTTTCTTGTACATTTTACTTACCTTCAGTTGGCTTTACTAGCAATAACTTGTGGTGTTGTTAATACCACATTTAAAAGTTTTAAAATCTGTATGCTTTATCTGTATGCTTTATGTTTGTAATCTTTTGTTGAAATGAACTTTTGACCTGCGAACCTATAACTGTGAAAAGGTAATGACTATGTGTTGCTTTGGTTTCCTGGTTTGGAGTGTGTGGTTACACCGTTGCTGCTGCTGCTGCTGCATGTTAAAATCGTGTGAATTACTATACAAGGCAAGTTCACACGTTTAAAACTAAAAAAATAAATAAACAAAAGTTTTTAAAATATTTACAACACCTCAGTAAAGCACATTAATTTTGCTGCTTTTCTGAATTTAACAATGATGTGCTTTAATTGGCTTCTGGTCTAATATTTGCATAATGCTTGTTTGTATAGTGAGACTACAGGTTTTATAGCCGATTTATATCCCTGACCCCAAACTGTCTTTCACTGTTAACCAAGCCATGCACAATCATTTTACGTTTCTTTTTTCCCTTAATATGAATTGAACTAGTCTTTTTCTAGCCGCTATTAACTTTTGCTAATGCCGCAATGTAGAGGTCATGGTCATGGAAACCTAATGAAGGACAGACTCTTCATTCCATAGCCATGTGATCACAGATACTTTTAGCTCAGTGGTGGGATGGTAAGGAAACTTTCATTTTGGTTAGGCATAGTATGAAAAGCTTGTCCTCCAGCAGGCCCATTTATTCCGTGGTAAAACTGACTCCAGTTGACTTAACTGGAACAGTCTTCACTGCTTTTATCCACTGAGGATGAAAATAAGCTGCTACTGCATTTGAATAAGCACACAGGGCAAGAAAGATACCCAGGGAGGTCAAATTAGAATCATAAAAACAACACAGCACACGTCATTATCTTAAACTACTGCTGATGTCCGGCTCAGAAACACTGATGCTGAGTGTTAATGTTAAGGTCTTCGTGTACAAACATGAGTAAAACTGTTTAGTTTCAAATCTGTCTTAAGCACATTTAAATGTTGTTCAGGGGGAACACATCTGACTGATTTCCCCTGTAAATTGTAAGCAGTCACATCTCCATATATGTTCTTTTAAAGAACGGTCTTTAAAAAAAAGTGACTGTTAATATTGGGAAATCCTAACATACGCAGTTTACTCGCTTTATAACTTAGGCGACTTTTGGACCGGTTAAACATCGTGACCAGTGTTATAATATGCTAAACATCTACTATGACAGTCCTCGGAAACAAACCTTTGGCTCGCTAATTATAAAATACTTACGCAGGCCCATGCCTTGGGCCTGCGTTAATAATTTTAGAGAGCTAGCAAGTTAAACTGGCTCCCAACTGTATTTACATAGAGTAGCCATATCCGTCTAATCCATTGAAGGCTCGCTCGCTTCCCGCATTTAAGCTAACTAACTACAAATAAATATAACAAAATATCAAGCAACAAAAACGAAATTACGACCCGCATGTGTACTTTCTAGCTTTCTTCGACTGAGCTAAAGGCAAAGGTATGTCTGTAATAACGTTGACAGAGCAGCTAGCGACTGCTTCGAGAAGACAAGCAGCTCGGTAGACGTCAAAGCAGCAAAACGCCTTAAAAAAACGACACCACGATCCAGCTCAGGTATAACCGTTGCTAACCTGTCAATCAACGCTTTAGTCTGTGTAGGAAGCTGTTTTCGCTTTTAGCACTTACTTTAGTTTTCTTGCAGTCTCTTCCTGAAAGCTTGTATTTCTTCGACTAGCTTGGTTGTATTTAAGTGGTGTGGGTGGGACTCAGAGTTTCCATTCAAGGTTCCCACCCATCTCTCTCTCTCTATAGCCGTCCTCTTTGACAACGCCTATAAACAAAAACGAATTACTCCCTGCTGGACGTATATGTGACCTATGGTGACTTAATGGAAAACGTGACAGCTATTATTACACAAAAGGTATGTTGTTTGACTGATGTGTTCCTGGAAGGTAACACCCTACTCAGGTAAGAATATCTGAGTGTATAACTGAGTTAATCCCCTTTCTTTGTACATTTTTGTTTTTATTTTCTTGGAGCTACAAGAAAATGTAATGATTAATGTAGCTGGCAGTAATAAGTCTTAGCAATTTTTAAAAGATAAAATGAAATAAAATAAAAAATATTAGGAAGTGAAACCATGCTGTAGGCTTGTGAACATATACAGCCAAAAAGAAAGAAAGAAAGGAAGGCAGGACAACCAATTCTGTTCTAAAGTTTTACTTATCAAGATAAGATAACACTTTTTATTGTCATTGCACATTTATAGCTGGTACAATAGTACAATGAAAATGGAAACTGTCCCACTAGGTACAACTAAACACAACACAAACAGTAACAACACAACACAGTAACTTTAAAGTGGCGTGATAAGCGCAAAAAAGGTATAAGCAAAAAAAAAGAAAAGAAAAAGGAATGACTTCATAAATAAATAAAAGAAATTAATGAATGTTTCTTGCACATTATTATTATTGCCCTCCAAAAAAAGTCCAGGGAGGTAGCCAATCAGGTCAGCTGTTAGCATTGATTAGGGCTATTGCCCTATTGTAAAAGCTGTCCTTGAGTCTGTTTGTCTGTGACCTTGGCAACCCAAATCTGGGCAGGAGATTCAGGTTGCTGAGGTCACTTAAACACCCGGTGACTTGGGTATGTGAAATCCCGTAGCTCTCGTGAGACGGCGAGTGCAGTACAGGTCCTTCAGGGAGGGAAGAGGATGTCCAATGATTTTGTTCAGGACGTAATGATGAAAAGATATTACAAGGCTCCTCCAGATGGCCATATGGGGGCCACTAAAAATATTGGGGTGGCACACCAAATGTTTTAAGTTTTAAGTTTTCTATTCCAGTTTCATTATGCTGTTGTAATGTAGCCTATACTTGGCTACATGAAAAAATGTTGCAAATTTTGTGAGATGAGATGAGCATCAACATATGACACATTTCACCATATCATTATTTATTCAAATGAACTAACTAAATACAAACTACACCCTTACTACTTACCTGAGAATTAAGAGGGTAAATAGCAGCCATGTGTTTTGATCATCAATACATTTCAGCATCTCTATAAAAGCTAAAGCTTTTTTAGCCAGTCTGGAGTTTTTAGGTATGTGTTAACTCAAAGCCAAGGCAAAAAGACATCAGCGGTGATCTCGGAGAACCTATTGTTGCTGCCCATCCATTTTGGAAGGGTTAGAATTATATCACCAAACACTATGACCTTCATTATTGTACAATTAGAAAGATTCAATACAGGGGAGAATTTCATGGGACATCCCAGCAGGGTCCCAGCAGCAAGGCCATGGGGTCATAATTGGCCTGACAAAAACTCCAATCCAGCCCACTGGACTGCTTTGGAAAATGTTAAGAAGGGCATACATTTTGGACTTCCTACTAATAAAAGACCTCCCCATGGACATTCATACTACACTAAAGTAATAGATAAAAAATTAAACGACAAAAAAGTTCATTTTTTCACTATTATAGAAACTTTTTGTTTCACAATAAAAAGACAAAAATGTACATTTTCTGCTAATTAACAAAACCTTTCAGTTTTATAATAACTACAGGACAGTCTGGGTAACAAACTATCTGAACTTGTCTGTCATTTTTTACATTTATTTCTTACAATTTAGGGTCATTAATTTTTTTCAGCAGCATTTCTCTGTTGTTATCTCTGAGTTCAAATGTGCAGCTGAACCTCTGTACAGTGATAGATACCCAGATAAGTTTATCTGGCCCACTTAAGATTAAAGTGGGCTGTATGTGGCCCGTAATGTAAAATAAGTTTGACATCCCCGCCTCTGCTTCAGACTCCTAAATGTTAAAGTTCATGTACAAAGTACATTTAGAAAAAGACTGAATAAATATGGCGTGTTTGAAAGGGTTGCCAGCACAAGACCTCTTGTCTCTAAAAAGAAAACATTAGCACAGTTTAGGATTTTCAAAGTTGCATCTGAGCAAATTGAAAACACCTGGAACAATGTCGTCTGCACAGATGAGAACAAAGTGGAGATGTTTTACCACAATGTACACTGCTACATTTGGCAAAAACCAAACACAGCATATCAGCACAAACAACTTGTACCAACTATAAGCTTGGTGGTGGAGGCATGATGTTTTGGGCTTGTTTTGGAGCCACAGGTCCTGTGCACCATGCTGTCATTGAGTCGATCATGAGCTCCTCAAGTATTCTGGAGTCAAATGTGAGGTCATGTGTCTGGCAGCTAAGGCTTGGCTGAAACTTGGTCATGCAACAGGACAATGACAGCAGCAAATCTACAACAGAATGGCTTAAAAAGTAAAGAATCAAAGTGCTGCAATGGCAAGGTGTTGCAAAGTCTAGACCTCAACCACACTGAAATGCTGTGGCAGGAAAGCTGTGCAGAAATAAATGCTTCCAAACCCCAATGAACTCAAGCAACACAAGGAAAGAAAAGTGGGCCAAAGTTCCTACAAATGTGAGAGACTGATAAAGTAGCACAGACAACATTTACTTCAACTCATTGCTGTTAAGGGTGGTTCAAAGGCTACTGAATCACAGATTGTGCTTAGTTTTTCACACACTCCTTCTGTGTTGTGGCTTAGTTTTGATGAAATAATGTTACAATGTAATATCACATGTATTACTGTTCATCTGAAGTTGTATTTCACTCATTTTAGAACCTGGTTAGGTCTATTTGTTTTATTATTGTGTCATATGCACCTCAGAACTGAAAGAGCTTTTCACATGACTCTACTGTAAATGTATGCACATATCGGAAATATCTGTTAATATAGTTTATATATGTGACTCATTGCAAACGTCCTTTCTCCTAAAATTCTCCTAATTTAGGTCTGCAAATTAAAAGTACAAGATAAAATTAGGTTTTGGAAAGCAGTAGTCATACTTAAGAGCCAGAATAACCCCTCTAGGAAATGAATACCAGTATCTTCTGGATTCATGGATATATGCAGGGATTTTTGCCACAAGAGGGAGCCGTTTTTAAGGTTTTCTCCATAATCTGCTGCCTTGAATCTGCGGGTTGGCTGGAAGCTGGGACGTGCTCGACAGAGTGTGTCCCCATAGAGTCCTGATAACCTGCACAGTTTATAGATTTCTTAACCGCTGGACTAAATGGTATAAAGTTATCCAGGTTTTTCTTTATAGCATATTAATATGTGTTTTCAGAAGGTGGCTGAATGTCATAAAGAATCAGTGAGGCCTGTTTCCACTCAAGGGTAGAGAAATAGTAAACCATATATATTAGTAACTAGGTAAATAATAGAATATGTACACCGTCTTTATTACAGCAGTTACTCGGTTGTATCGTGAATGACTCCTGGAACAAACGACGCGCTGATTGGCTGCTGGTCCTCGGTGACGCAGAGCCGCGTTCATTGCATATTCAAAGAGCTTCTCTCTGCCCCGCTGCAATAAAGGCAGATAGCGGACCATGGGGAGCAAGGGAAAACTTTTTATACTGACATGTTAACGCCATGACTTTTGAGTAACACCTAAGTGGGACGAGGCTCCCGGAGTGAGGAGGACAGGGCCTTTTACAGAAAGAAGAAGAAGAAAAGGGAGCACTTGCCATCAGTTTGGGTACGGGGACGGGAAAAAAGCAACATTTGAGACGAGTCCAGCAAAAAAGAAAAAAAAGAAGCGGTGGAAATCCAGTTTGGACATTTGAATGGAAAGATGAGCTTGCTGTCTGCCATAGACACGAGTGCCTCCGTGTACCAGCCGGCTCAACTTCTCAACTGGGTCTATCTCTCCTTACAAGACCCCCACCAGACCAGCGCCTTTGACGCGTTCAGACCCGAACCCAACTCTTCCCACCCGGATCTCAGTTTCAGCAAGACTCCCGCAGCGGCGGATTTGAGCTCTTCCCTGAACTCCAACTATCTCAACAACTTCTTCCAGCTGCAGCGAAATGAGGTGAACTGACGGCATGCTACGTACAAATCCGGGATATCTGAGGTTGTGAGACTGTGGGTGATTTTAGGGAGAGTTGGACGGTGTTAGTGTTGTTTGTCTGAGCAGCAAATGTTTTAGCATGCAGGTTGCAACATGGGCTATTCTGGTATAACCGCCATGATATTTTTAATATGGACAAAAACCTAAAATAGTCCGATGAAATAAACGTTTTTGGTGGGGCTACTTTGAATGTAGCTCTATTGCTATGTGCAGATCTAAGTGTTTTACATAATATAAAACGATTGTGTAGGCTTCTGTGTATATGATTGCAATACTAGAAGAGAAAAATACACCAGAAATACTCAGTAAATATGTCACTCACCCACTCATGGATTAAATACTTATGTTAAAATTAAAATTAATGTGCAATCTTTCAAGATCTAAATATCACACAGCTCATTTCCCTCCCCCAGATGACATGATTACACATGAAGAGGTCTGCTTTCAGCATATTTATAAGTTATGGCTCAAAGTTAATGTGGTGAGGAAAATATGTTTTAATCAGAGAGGCAGGAGATGGAAATAGATCCCCCCCACCCTCTGCACGCCTCTGTCTGGAGAGAGCAGGCCACTGCAGCCCCTTGCTGAGGTCTGCTGTCTCTGACTCCTTCAAATAGACCAGGTTGTGCAAACAACATCAGTCCTTGTTTACATATTCTCTATTTTTGTGCCTCCAAGTAATTTTAGTGAACCAACATGCTGATAATGTGTGCAGGGTGCAAATCTGATACCCCATAGTGCACTCTGTGCAAAAGTGACCCCTCCATCTCTCCCGCATACAGAAAATGATCACACAGCGTGGGCAGAAAGGCAGTGTTACAATAAATAAAATTACACAGTGAGCAGCATTGATTGCACGGCAGCCTAGTTTCTTAGATCTCTGTT